ATAATCATCCCCTCTTGCCCGACTGTGTTAGAGTTTCTCTACTTGTTGCCATCGACCCCAATTATCCATTGCCTGTTCCTATTGATGAGGCACAAACGGTAGGGGAAGCAGTAGGAAGCTTCGTTGCATGGCCTAGCCACCTTGTAATAGTGGTAACACCAAAGCTGGCAAAGGACCCATTGCCTCTAAAGAAAAAGATACGGTTTAAATAATTATTTATAATTTTATAATATAATTATAAATATCTAACTTTTTTGTTGTGCAACTGAAAGGGAAGAGCAAGCTAAAAGGTAAGTCAGGCCATACCAAAGAGTCAGCCACAGTTTCGCAATATCCAGCAGCACCGGTGCCAACTGTAGAATACAAATACCGTGCCTCTCTTGAGACATATGCGATGGCTACAAGGATGGCTCGTCAAGTTGCGATTGGGGATATCATTAGTTTTGATGATGGGCTGTATGGAAGATCGGGCTTGTTTGAAGTTGTTTGGGATGAAATTTTGAATGAAATTCTCAAGCACGAAATGGCCAGTACTAGTCTGATGAGCTTCTACATGAGGTATTTCTTCGATAATGCTCAGTTAATTACTTAAATTATATATATGTATGTGTGCACGTGTGTGTATTAACTTGGTTTTTTTTTTACTTAAGCCACCTTTATATTTCATTTGTGATTCCTAGCGGCCTTGAGTCGAGATTCAAGCTGATTAATCCCCACGATGTCTCTGCTTATAATGGAATTACAAAGGAAGCTCTTGAAAATCAAGCAAGACAGCTTTCAAATCAATTTAAGGATAGGGGAGCAAGCAACGATACTTTATTTCTTGCTCCTTACTGTCAAGGGTAAGCCACTTTCTAACTACTTTTGGTACAAGTAAATATTTTTTATATTTACTTATCTGATAATACTTGTTATTTCTTATTAGGGGGCACTGGATGCTTATTGTGGTTAACCCTGTTGCTTCAAAAATTTGGTATCTTGATCCTCTTAACGGAGAACTAAGCAATAGGCCAGATATGGTAGAACTTTTTAATAAGTAAGTTGAATTTTTATTAATTGTTATTTTAATATCCATATATATTGAATTTCTAACATTTATTCTTTATTTCCTTCTTAGAGCTATGGTCTTGTATCGAACTGCGACCAACAAGACCTTGTCCCCTAGCTTAAGGGTATTGGACTCTTGTGAGACATGGGTCACAGTTAAGGTAAACCTAATGGACTGAGTTTTTAATTAACAAACCGTGGCCTTTTAACTATTATTTTATTGATATGTAATTTTTTTTGCACAGTGTCCACTCCAGCCAGATCAGAGCAATGACTGTGGCTATTGCTTGATGAGATTCTTGAAGGACATTATCACCCATGCCCCTACCACATTACCTAACAAGGTATATATTAAATATAATGATACTTAAATTATAAATTTTAACAACTTTTGTTAGATAGCTATTAACTTGAATTTATTGTAACTTTTTGCATACAGTACTTCGAGGATGCCTACTGTATTCAATATGCAGCTGCACATATAGAGGAAACCCTTGAAGAGGTAGCTCAAGCTGTGTTTAACATGTGGATAGCAGCAGTGGTTAGGCCTAATTAGTTTTGGTGTACACATTTATTTTTTTGGTCAATTTTATGTCTGAGGCCAATTAATTTTGAAATTTAAACTTGTAAAGTAGGTAAAGTTATAGATTTTTTTATGGCATCGGGTTTAGAATATAGGTAGATATAAGATAAATTAAAGATATTTAGATTGTAATTTCAATATAAATAATGATTCAATTGTTTTTTATTATTGGATGGCTGGTATATATATTTGATTGCTTTGTATTTGTAGGCTGCTTAAAAAGCAGCCCCCAGCTTTTAAAAAAAACACATCATAAATACTTGACAGTTATTTAGAAAGAAACGTCAAGTATAAGTTTACTTGACGGATACTTCAAAATAACCGTCAAGTATGTATTATGAAATAACCGTCAAGTATTTGGCACACAGAATTTGCAAAAGCATATTTGACGCTTGTTACAAAATAACCATCAAATATTACTAAATACTTGATGGTTATTTAAAATAACTGTCAAGTATATTGCTGCAGTATATACAAATGTTTAAGTGATTATTTGACGGTTATTTTGAAATAACCGTCAAATAATCTCTAAAATATTTGACAGTTTTTAACCGTCAAATAAATATATGGCGCCTCATTACTTGACGGTTAAAAACTGTCAAATAATTTCTAAAATAACCGTCAAGTAAGGGGGCATTTTGTAGTAGTGTTTGAAAATTCTCTAAATGCTCAAATAAAGATAAGTTCGCTCAATGATCATTAGTTCTCATTTAGGCTTGAAATGAATCACATATATAATTTTGATAGTTGATAGACCATTAGAATATTGTTTCTATCCGTTGATGCAATTTCTTGCGAGTGTCCTGCTGAATCACACATGAAATTGCACTTGGCTTGTTCTAGATATGTATATGTGACAAATTACACGTGAACCTTGCGTGTAGTTTTGCATCTATGAATATGCATTCAGCTCTGTGTATAGATCTTGCGAGTGAACTCTCAGCTCTCATGCATGGTTTAACATATGTGAAATCATCATTAGTTCTGTGTGACAAATCTCACATGAAACTACTATGCTCTCACGCGTGAAATTGCCTATAGAAAGTAAAGCTCATATTTGTGTGACAGAACTCACATGGAACCTCTTTGTTCTCATACGTGAAATGGCTAACAGAATGTCACAGCCAATTCTTGTGAGAAAAACTCATACAGAAGCAAAAGGCAATCATGCGTGAAATAGTCATATCTAAACTTAGTCTATTCAGGAAGACAAATCACACGTGGATCATATTTTTACTCACACGTGAAATATCAATTGGTAAGGCACAAACTAGTCTGGGTATATTTTCATGAGTGGAAAAGCAATGTACTCAACAAGAATATGCGCGATCAAAAGATAAGAACATATGAATTACATATCAAACATTTGAACAAAGTGAATTTAGCTTAAGATGACTTAAGACTCAATATAGCAATATGTGATTGTGTAACAAGTAACAAATCACACGTGACTACTATCAATCCTTACGCATGAAATAGAAGTTGACACAATGTAATGAAGCACAGTTGCTAAAACTTGTGTGGATCATAGTGCCTCTCACGCGTGATTTTGCATACACCAGCAAGGCTTAAGATATCACATAACACAAGTGACAAATTACGCATAAATCACTTCCTGACTCCTGCATGATTCATCAGTTTGTGTGCCCAACCTATAGATTCTCATGAGTGACCAGTAGAATCACCCGTGATTCTGCAGCCTTCACAAAATTCAACTACAAAGATTTTTAGCATGCTAAAAAGACATCACTCGTAAGCTTGAATACACTTAGATGAGTCTTAATACTAATAAATGAGACATATGATGCATTCATTTTAAATGATTACGAAAAGTGATTAAACTTTCAAAGTTTTTACATTAAATCTAAGAGAATTTAAATGACTTACCCTAAATTTCTTCATCTTCTCTTGATTCTTTATGCCCTTAAGATTTTGTCTTCAGCCATGATTCTTTATATCTATACACATAACAAATACCTTTTTTCTTAATTTTGTAATGATTAAAACATATGATCCAACAAAATATACATATAAAAATTTGTGTCTGTTTTTGCCATTATATATTTTAATTAGCTTTTGAATCAAATTATCTAAATAAATTTTAATTTGTTCAACTAATTTATTAAAAAAAATATTCAAATATAAACCATGTTAAAGTCACAATCTAACTTCAATTTACTAATCTCAATTGATTCTAACCTTAATTGAAATTTTTTTTAATTCAAACACATACTATATTTAAAAGCTGGGTTGAGGCATTAAAATTAAGAGATAAAAAATTAAAGTAGCCCACTTTGTCCCTCATTCCCTGTAAACTCATTACTCTCTTATTTCTTCTTATGAGTTCGTTGTACTCTCTATATAGTTGTAATTTAAATTATTTTTATTTTTTTTCAGTTTAAAATCAAAACAGAGTCATCCAATATCTCCCAAGATTTAAAATAAATGAATCCCATTGAACTTTTTTTCCAAAAAAAAAAAAAAAGAATCCCATTGAACTATTTATTAATTTTTTCTGATATATCAAATTTTATATTTTATATTTTTATTATTTAACATATCAAATTTTGTGTTATTTATAACTTTTCTCACATTTTTTAAATATTTCTAATATATTATGTTTGTATAAAAAATTATAAATAATCATAAAAATTAATATTCTTTTTAATAATTGTACATTCAAAATTACATTTTCTTATATATATATATAATCTAAACAAATTTTAATTTACCAAATTAATTTTTGATAAAATATATACAAACTTAAATTTAGTTATAATAACCGACTTTTGCTAAATTGACTTTTGTCCAATTAATTTTTAATTAGTTAATGGAAAATCAAACATATACTCAATCCTCAATAGGTGGAAAATCAAAAATCATGAGTTTTCAAGGCCCTTTGCTATAATTTTTTTAAAGTGCCTAAGTTATCAAGAGTCTTGAATAATGATGATGATCGCGAGGAAGTAAACATTCACTGATAGGAAATGCGCACAAATCTGAGGGACATGAGTGCTCTGATGAGCAAAGGGAGAAGCAAAGTAATAAATTTAAAAGGCCTATATCAATAGTAACGATTGCACAAAGTGAGAGTTTGGTTTGACTGAGATCCTCAACTTCTGCGCTGAGAGTCCAACCTTTCAAAGACTTATTAGATCGGACTTCGTCCTATATTTCGTATTCTGGGCTCTTTAATAAATAGTTCGGCCCAAAAATTATTTTTAGTCCAAACAATTGTCTTTTGGCAAGGATTGGTAACATGAAGGTCTCTTTGAAGAAAGCTACCTTGTCATGATGCCTTGAAAGTTGAAACAACTAATGCAATATAATTCTGATTATCTAGTTCTTATTTTCCAAGACACATGATCAATTCAGTGTCCAAAGACAAATTGACATAAATCACAGGAATTCATAACATTGGAGTACATAAAACTACAAGCGGGAACCAAATGACATTGGCTTGAATACAGATATACAATTATAATAATTCAACCAAGATACTTCACAATCGACTGGTAATGTTCTTATTTTTCTTAGACAAGCATCCCATGGCCTTAGCTTGTTCCTTCAGAACATATTTTTGAGTCTTACCAGTTGATGTCTTGGGCAAATCTTGGAAAACCACAGTTTTTGGGGCCATATAACGAGGCAAACGTTTCTGACAAAAGTCTATTATTTCTTGCTCTGAAGCACTGAACCCTTCCTTCAACTTCACAAAAGCACATGGTGTCTCTCCCCAGAAATCATCAGGCCTACCTACAACAGCAGCATCAAAAACTGCAGGATGACTAAAAATCACACCTTCTAATTCTATTGAGCTTATATTTTCTCCACCTGAGATTATTATATCCTTCGATCGATCCTTGAGTTCAATGTACCCATCAGGATGTTTCACTCCCAAGTCACCACTTCTAAACCATCCACCTTTGAATGCTTCTTGTGTTGCTTCCAGATTCTTTAAATACCCATTCATCACAGTGTTGCCTCTGAACATTATTTCTCCCATTGTTTTTGCATCAGCTGGTACACTTTTCATTGTCACCGGATCTTTCACATCTAATTCATCAAGGCCCAAATGGTATACTCCTTGCCGGGCTTTGAGTTTACCTTGTGTGTCTCTAGGTAGGGTGTCCCATTCTGGTTTCCAAGTACAAACTGTTGCAGGACCATAAGTTTCTGTCAAACCATATGAATGTGTCACAATGAATCCCATTTCTTCCATCTTGAAGAGAACCTCTGGTGGCGGTGGAGCACCACCGGTCATCACTGCTAACTTCCCGGGAAATGGCTTTCGAACATCTGGAGGCGAATTAATTATCATATTCAAAACTGTAGGAGCACCACCAGTGTGTGTCACCTTGTGTTCATAAATATTGTCAAATATTGATTTGGCAGTTACATTTCGTAGGCAAACGTTTGTACCACCCTGAGCAGCAATTCCCCATGGGAGACACCATCCGTTACAATGAAACATGGGAACACACCATAAGTAAACCGGCATAGACTTCATGTCATTGAGAAGAACTGTCGACAAAGCATTGAGATAAGCACCTCTGTGACTGAAAATCACACCTTTGGGACTCGATGTAGTCCCAGAAGTGTAATTGAGTGAGATCGGATCGGTTTCATCCGTTGGTTTTCTAGCTTCAAAATCAAGATTTCCTCTAGCTAGGAGCTGCTCATATTCCAATATCCCAGAAGAGGATGTGTTGTTGTTACTAATACCACATTCTGGAATCAGGACCAAAAGGGGAAGCTTGGATGTTGTTTTGGAGAGGAGACCAAGTGCTCCTTGAGCAATATGTAGCAGTTGATAGTCTACAAAAATAATTTTAGCATCTGAATGTTTTAGTAACACTGAAACCATTCGAGAATCGTGTCGTGTGTTCAGAGTACAGAGAACAGCCCCTGACATTGGAACACCAAAATGAAGTTCATACATGGCTGGAATATTCGGGGAAAGTACTGCAACCTGATCAAATAAAATGGTCATTCTTAGTAAATGTAATAAACAACAGTGGTTCATCAGTGTCATTAGAGGACTGATTAAGTTCAACTGTTCAAGTAACCAAACCAGGTCAAGAAGAAAAGAACGAAAACAAAATTGTATGCCAATGCATTGGAAACATTTATCATACCAATTACCAATTACCATCTTCGTTAACATTTTGATGATTAAGAGATCCTCAGTTAAAATTTAAGATCCAATTAAAGCAAGGTTTAAAGCTATTACATGGCTTCCACCGAAAAATCCAATTACACTTGGTGCAATGTATGTAGATTGCAATAGTAACAAGTGCGCATGCCACATGAGTACCAGAAAAGAAACTCCAATACGTGAAGCTGAATGAGAGAAAGTTCTGAGGATGAAATTAAGCTAATATATCAGTAGTTTAATTGAAGAGAGAAAAAAATAACATTGTGAACATGTGTCGGTCTTAATATTTTATTAGTCTCATTGCCGCTATCTGTTCTTCCTTGGTAAATGATAATCAATGCCCAAGAGTAGCATAAATCATAAGCAGAATCCAAGAACAGCAGTAACCAATGGTTCAATTCTCATAATCTCATACCAGAAGAGTTTGACGACAAATTGACCAGAGTCAGAAATCCAAAACCTTAAAATCACAGACTACAAAAACCCAGAAAAGAAAACAGGATCAAAGCAAAAGAGGACTTTCTTTTGAAATGCAGATTAAAATAAGTGGAACAACCTTTAAATGATAATCAATGCCCAAGAGTAGCATAAATGATAAGCAGAATCTAAGAACAGCAGCAACCAATGGCTCAATTCTCTTAATCTCATTCCTTTGACAACAAATTGACCAGAGTCAGAAATCCAGAACCTTCTAATCACAGACTACAAAAACCCAGAAAAGAAAACAGGATCGAAGCAAAAGAGGACCTTCATAATATCAGATTTTTCTGAACAGAATTTTGATTATCGAAACTAACCACATCACCACGAGAAACTCCAAGTTGGGCAATAGCAGAAGCCAGTTTGGTGCATCGTTGAAGGGTCTGTTTCCAAGTGTACCTGACATCACCATACACGACAGAAAGATTGTCTCTGTAGACTATGGCGGATCGTTCCAAGAAGCTGATCGGCGTGAGAGGGACGTAGTTGGCCGAACACCTGATCGTCCCCTCCATAGCCATGGATAAAATTCTGCAACTTCTACTTCCCACGAGCACGACGATGATATTTTTGAATAGTTGGCCCTTTATTGTCAAATCCTGAAAGCAATTTTATATTCCACTTGAATAGATAAAGACAATAACACGTCATTATCGATAAAATATCGCAGAGATAAGTATCCAACTACCCCCTCCGTTTAAATATTTAAAATAGTTTTAATTAAATTTTCTTTCTAATAAAATGTTTATTTATTTTTAAATTAATTTTATCTTTTTATATTTACTTTTATTAAACATCCTATATTAAATATAAATTTATTATTAATAAGGATACTTTAAAAAATATAATGATTATTAAAAATACATTACATTTTTAAATATCTAACTCTTTAAAAAATATCTTATATTTTTTAAAGAAGGGTGTATTAATTTTGCATTTGCTTTCTGAATAAAAACACAAGTTTTTTTTTTCCGCCAAATCTGGTGTGCTGAAAAATTAGTTGAATATTATTGTCAAAGATAGTGATCTTGTTTTTTTTAATGTTATTGAAATAATTAGTAATTTTTTAAAATATTTTTTACCAACATTTTTGAAAATAAGTTTTGGAATGAAAATAAATAAAAAAGTATGTTTAAATTATTATTTTGGAAAACACATATAAAGTAATAAAATAATAGGTAAAAGAATCATCAATATATATAACCATCATCAATTATCAATTATCAATTATCAATATCAGTCAATCTCACAGTCAAAATATAAACACTAAAATATAACGTCAAAGCTAGATCTACAGTACTTTAAATAATATACTTTTCTTTCTTTTTTTATTAGATTTGGAACTCATGATTAAAAAAAAAAGTGGGTATCGGACCTGATATTAAAATAAGTAAGTGTGGGACTCATAATTTAATTAATAAGTTTTATTTACATAGGATGAAAACCTTTCGCTATATAAATTCTCATTTCTAAATGTTAAAAACTTGTACAATGTGTAAAAAATAATAAAATTCTTACATTTTGAAATATTAGGAGGATCATAGTAAAAATTGATAGTAAATATAATATTCCTATTGAAAATGATAAGTGTTAGATATGCAATAAAATTATAAATTTTATTTAGAAAAAGTATAAAAAGTAATTTACTTGAAATAAAAAATGTAAATAAAATTAATTTAAAATAATAAATTCTAAGTAAAATAATTTTTTGCTTTTAATTTTATATGTATAAGATTATAAATTGTGAAATAAAATATTAAGCTAAATTACAAATTATAAAATAAAACATTTTGTTGTTTAAATTTAAATTTTAAACATGTGAGGATAACACACATGTTAAAATAATGAATTATTCTTTATATTTTAAAACGCATATATTAATAATTTTTTAAGTTATTTGTGTAAAAACAAAATAATATGTTTTACTTGTAGTACACGTATATATAAATGATAAATGGATGGACTATACTATTTTCTTAATTTACAACCATTACAATTATAATTTATAAATAATATTATGACATAAATTGTTGGATGATTCATTATAGCGCATGTTTAATTTTTCTTAAAATGATAATGGGACAACAAAATTTTGAAAAATAACAAGTTAGGGAGGTGATAAAGTTTTTAAAAAATATTGATATTTTTTTATATGTATAAGGGAAGCACATTACAAATAGAAGCTGTTTCTTCAACTTCAATTTACACGGACAACATATTTTACTTTAAGCACGCTAAAATAATTTTTTAATATTAATATTGATATTATTTTTATCTTTTAAATATTAAAACATTCTCATACATAAGACGGGGCTTAAATCTAGTTATTTATTTTATCATATAATTAATGAAAACACAATGTTGTATGCCTTCTCTCTAGTTTTGTAAATTAAAATTCTGAACTAGACCCGGCCTGTATAGACTATTCAACAGTAGGTAATTGAATGGTAAAAAAAATGGCCAATTGGTGAACAAACCATGAAAACTTAGAAAATTTGGCCAATTTCATGAATTAATCACTTGAAGAAATAAGATATAAAAAAATAAAGTATTAAAAATTAGACCAATCATTAAACTGATCAAAACAAGCTAATGGTCAAAATTATTGTGAAATCATAATTATTATACATTAGTTATAAGCAAAACATTTTATTAATTTAATAAAATACTTATTTAATACTCCCTCCGGTTCCATTTATAAGTCTAATTGTAGAAGGTATATTTGGTCTCATTTATAAGTCACGGTGCGTCTTTTTAGGTAATATTTAAGAGGTATTTCCAAAATTACCCTTTATGAGAGAGAAAAAGTAACAGAACATTACTTTTTAGATTTGTTATATAGGGGCATGTTTGGAATTTTACTTACTTTTATTCCTTATACTTTTATTGTATTGGTATTGATGAGGTTGGTAGAAATGACTTATAAATAGGACCGGAGGGAGTAATTTATTCATTCAATCGATATGTTAATCTAAATTTCAATAAATGGGCCAAGCCCAAGCAAGAAGGCAGGCGAAGATGACGAGGATGAAAGAGATTTGATATAAAAATAAAGGAAAGAAGATATTTTTACACTAAACCACCACTTTACCACTTTATATATAATTTTTCAACAACAGAGAAGCTGATATTTTTACACTAGGTCATCAGAAGCTGATGGTCGAAGTAGCATACTTCATTGAGAAGTGAAGCAGCAAGAGGAGGAAGCGTTTAAATTAATGAAAAAATTATGATCCTTATAATGTTAACTCAGTTATAACTCAATCCTTAAATTTTAACTTATTATACCACAATCTTAAAGTTTTTACTTAATTATAATTTAATCCCTCAATTTTAACTCTTACAATTTAGTATTTATAGTTTCAATCATTTAAATATTAATTCTTATATTTTTAAAAAATAAAATTATAAAGATTAAAATTATGTTAAAATTTATTACTAATATGTTAAATTATTAAACCCTTTTAATCCTTACAAATATTGTAAATATTAAAATTTTAAAATATTTTTAATTTTTAAAAATTATAGGAACTAATATTTAAGTGGTTGAAACTATAGAAACTAAATTGCAAGAGGTAAAGTTTAGAGATTAAGTTACAACCAAATTAAAATTATAAAAATTGAGTTATAATGAATTAAAATTTAAGAATTGAGTTGCAATTAACTCAAAATTACATGAACCAAATGATTCATTTTTCTTTAATTAATTTATGTAACATTTGAACTAATGAATTTAAATTTAAATTTTAAAATTTTAAAATTTCACATTTTTAATTATATTTAAAATTAATAATTTTATTTGGCTTATGTAAAAATTTTTAAAGATAAAAAATGAATTAAAATTAAAAACAAAACTAAAAAGATTAAAACTGATAAATTTATCTCCACTTTTTAGTGAAAGAGAAATAAAACTAACGTAAACATCAATAATGGAAATGAGAAGGTTGGAGTCACATCACAGTCCATCTTCTCTCTCCGCGTGCTGTCATCAATTTTAATATTATTGTTTTGGGGGGGGGGGGGGTGGGGGAGGCGCAGCAAAAGAGACAACACATTTATTAATATTATAGAAAAAATTTCATTTAAAAATATAAAAAAATATTTTTTAATGAGTTTAAAAAAACTTTAAAACTTCAATTCAACCCTCAGGGAATAAATTGAAAATAAGTTGAATATAAAAAAAATAAAATATTCTTAATTCAAATATTAAAAAAAAAAACTACTATCCACTATGGTCGATGCATCTTCAGTGATTGAGCGTCGTTGGTAATGGCAGCCACTAGACTTCTATCATTGGAGTTCCAATCACCGGTTGGATAGTCTATAGTGGCTGGAGAATTAATTTCTTTAAAGGTAGCTAAGGTGGGTGTAGAACTCATAACCCTTTCATTCACCAAAAAATTTTAAACCACCAAGCCATTTAACTTATTCAATTATATAATGTATAAAATTATATATAGAATAAACTTTATTTTCAAACTACTTGATTATTATGTTATTGTTAATCGCGTAACTTTACTTATTGATACTTTAACAAGACTTGATAATTACTTAAGTTTTCTTGTTAACCTTATGACTCTAGCAATAGAATTAAATTACTTTTTAATCACTTAATTATACTTGTTCATACCTTAATAGTACTTGTCAATTCCTTAACTCTTTTTGTTAAGTCCATGACTTCCACAGCAGAATTACATTACTTGTTAATCATGTAACTGTATTTGTTAATACCTTTATAGGACTTGTTAATTACTTGAATTTACTTGTCAAATTCATGACTCTTTCAACTGAATTGCATTACTTATTAATCATGTAACTTTAATTATTAATTACATAACAATACTTGTTAATTGCATAGCTTGACTTGTTTAACTATTATTCCGAAAAAGCAACTAAATTGCTTGTTAATTGTATATCTTTACTTGTTAATTTCTTAACAATACTTGTTAATTATTTATTGTCACTTGCTAAATAAATATATAATTTACATAAAAAATTAAATTTGTTAGATAACGAAAGCAACGATAGTCAAGTCTCTCTTATTAGTATTTACCAAACTAGATACTCAATTATATAAGCACACATATATATATATATATAGACAGAGAGAGACAAAGCAATACCCTAAAAACCAAATATAATATTAACAATTAAAATTGAAGAAATGACAATCTATATTAAGCTTTTAATAAGTATACTTCTTGTCATAATACTCAAGAGGTTTGAAAATAAGATTTATTTTACAAATAATTTTGAGAGAGTTATGGAATTAACAAGTAAAGTTACATAATTAGCAAGTCAAGCTACACAATTAACAAGCATTGTTGCGTAATTAACAAGTAAAGTTACATGATTAACAAGTAATGCAGTTCAGTTAAAGAAGTCATGAATTTGACAAGTAAATTTAAGTAATTCACAAGTCCTATTAAGGTATTAACAAGTACAGTTACTCGATTAACAAGTATTGTAGTCAGTTGTAGGAGTCATAGACTTAATAAAAAGAGTTAAGTAATTAATAAGTCCTATTAAAGTATGAACAAGTATAGTTAAGTGATTGACAAGTAATTTAGTTTTATTGC